CGGTGAAAGCTTTTGTCCAATAGAAATAACTTTGGGTGGTGGATTTTGTATTATAAAATTCATGATTTCTTAACCATGAAGATATAATGATTTCACCCGAATAGCTTATCACAATAAGCACCACCTCATGTATGCTTCACACCACATGCATACATGTATAAATCATATGTGTCATGCCATCTTTTCACATATATGCATGCCATATATGCATGCACAATATCATGTTCACATATATAGTTCATGCATTTCTACTTTGATATGCATATTTCACGTAATCCACATAATAAACATGTATAAATTACCTCAACCCAGGTTGTCTCGGACCTGGTTATAACACCCTTCTCTGAGACTGACTTCTTCCTCTGCCTCGTCCCCTTGGTCTTCCCCGACCCCTAATTCCAAACGTGCTAGTCGGAAGATTTATGGGTGATTCTTCCCTTTCCTCAGATTCTGGACGAGCCACTCTTTCAGATCTTCGGGTTCGGCTAGACATCTATAGATTTTAGTGTTAATAATCACGTATTCACATTCCCAAATATAATGAAGTATTCAAGTTCAGATGTGTACCTGTAAATTCATAATTACACTGGCCAGATGTAATTAAACTTTACCTTACACACTGTTCTTTGAACCCATCATATTTATTTTCAATCGAGCTAACTATGTCCGGGACCCTTAACATGCAATAAAACAGTTTAAGTCTAGGTATCATGCTGTTAAATACCTAAATCCCTTAAACGAAGGTTTCGATACCATTTTCTGTAACACCCCATACAAGATCTTGCATGTAACACATATTTCATACAGAAGAAATACATGTTTATACACCATTCAGGTCCCTTAGTACAAGAATCTATCATTACAAAATACAAGGTCCAAAAATTCAAAATACATTTCTTGTACTAATCAACTTTCATCAATCAAAACTATACATCAAAGACAATTTTTCATGTAGAAATGCATATAGGAAAATATCACATTTTCCCCTTTCCCTTACCATCTGTACCACCTGCAATACATATTTAAAATCACAAAACGAGGGTTACACCGAAAGGTTTAGTGAGTTACCCTATTTATGTTATTGCATGGTGAAATCACCAAAACTTTGTATAAGAATAATCTTTTCATATATATAACAAATAGGAACATATTACCAGTACCTTTCCACTTTTCAAGCCAAGTATTTAGATTATTCAAATAACAGACCTTTGAACCAACCAGGTTTCATATAATGTCACTTTTAAACCTTTTCTAATCAACAAGGTTTATTTAAAGTTTCAGGCCAAACCTATTATTTTCTCCTCAATAACATCCAGACTGCAATTTCCAATAGGAACCTTGATCTTAAATCTTTAAATCACAAAGAAATAAAGATTCCAGATCACGGTTGTCTTAAGGGATATAATAGAAAGAGTTATATCAAACAACACACATACAAATGTCACCCTTATATCGAAATGTATACCTCTCCTTGATATGCCACCCTTATCCCATGGTACACATCTCCTTGATATGCCACCCTTATCCCAAAGTACACCTCTCCTTGATATGCCACCTTATCCCANATGCCACCTTATCCCAAAGTACACCTCTCCTTGATATGCCACCCTTATCCCAAAGTACATCTCTCCTTGATATGCCACCTTATCCCAAAGTACACATCTCCTTGATATGCCACCCTTATTTCCTCATCAAAACATTTTACAAAAACAATTCCAAATAGACCGCAGTCAACGGAATTATTATCAGTTCCAAATTATCAAAATTCCCATTATAGGTTAAAATAACAATTTTATCAACCATGCACACGGCATAAATACAAATCCGGTCAACATAAACTTGGCCGGACTTTATCTCCGGTCAAGTCTTGGCCGGTTAACCAAATCCGGACAATACATCGCCCTAAGGCTTGTCCAATTTAACACTTAAAATAAATTTCAACACCTTTTGTCCGGATAACAAATCCGGACAACATATCGTTTAAAACTTGACCGATTTAAAATAATCCGGTCACCACATGGTCGTATTCATACTTCTCCGTTCAAAATGTTTACCATACTCAACATTCATAAATCGCTCAATGCTTGACCGGTTTAAAACTAAACCGCTTAACACTTGACCGGTTTAGGGCTTAATCGCCCAACCCTTGTCCGATTTAAACCTTAAATCGTTTACCCATCATCCGATTTAATGTATAAATCGTTCAACACTTAGCCGGATTAAATTTGAAACATGTATAAAACTTTAAAAACATAATTCAAGATGCAAAAATGGTTTAAAGCATTTTAACCACTCACATTGAAAGCCATTTTTAAATCAAACACTTGAAGTCAAGTTGATCTTTAATCCAGGAGTAATCCGGTCAACACTTTTCTTCTTAAATCGCTTAAACTTTTAAAATGGCAAGAAGAGGAGAAATGGAGGCTTAGTCCTCCTTTTATACCTTTCTAAAACTGGAAGGTCGGCTAAACAGCCCCCTTCCCATATATACCCACTTCATGCATACACATAACATGCATTCATATTAAGCATAAAATTTCACATACTAGCAAGATCAAATATAAGAATTTATCATGCTATCACGAAATCATTTAATCAGATAATCACGTATTTATTACCTCGGGTGATAACCAAGATCCAGTTATCACAATAGACACTGCAAATCTAACCTTATTTTCTTCAGAACATCTACTGGTGTTGAATACCGATTCAATCTCTTTTATCCAGCAAATTGCTTTTACTAGATCTCTTTCTATTGAAAAAGTTGGAGGTTTACATGTCAGAAACATCTTTATATCCCCTCCCTGAGTATTGCTGCCTGCTAAAGGAGCTGGAGGATTAATTCCAACTCGCTCGGTTTCTACTCTAGCTGGCAGTCCCATAATGGATATCTGAGTTTCCCTCAGTTTTCCCATTTCTTCTTCCAGATCGTTCTAGTTATAAACTCTGATTGTTGCCTTTGTTCTTGTTGAGCATTCCTAGAAATAGTTTCCCCATGATCAGGGCGAATCTCGACCTGACTCCTCTCAGGAATTTGGCTTCTTCCTTGACCTCTACGCCTACCCCTTCCACGTCTTCTACTCCTTGAAGGTGGATTAACGGGAGATTCCTCCCTTTCTTCAGATGCCGGGCGGGCAGTTCTCTCTGATTTTCGTGATCGACTAGACATCTGCAAATAATTTAGTATTAAACATCTCGTATTCATATTCCCAAATATAATATGGTATCAAAGTATAGGTATGTACCTGTAAATTCATAATTACATTAGCCATTTGTAATTCAAATTCACCTTACATACTGCCCTCTTTAACCCATTATATTTTATTCCCAGAGATACTAATAATGTCCGGGACTCTTAGCATGCAAATGACAGTTTAAGTCTAGGCATCATGCTTTGAATACCTAAATCTATTAAACTAAGGCTCTGATACCACTTCTGTAACACCCCCAAACTCCACATTTGCATATAACACATATTTCATTACATGGAAATATAGTTTACATCATAAGGTCCCACTAGGACAATGATTCTTATATGTACAAAATCTACATATGAAAAATTCCAAAATAAATCATGTACTAACATATGTAATATAACACGTATCTTCAAAATAAGCCATCAATCCATTCCTTTGAAAAATTCCAAAATAAATCATGTACTAACATATGTAATATAACACGTATCTTCAAAATAAGCCATCAAAAGCAGATCATAGGTTAGGAAAATAATCACATTTTTCCTTTCCCTTTATTATCCCTAGACCCCGTCATTCCTACATTTTCAAATTTAAAACAGAAAATGAGGGTTAGCCAAGATGGGTCTAGTGAGCGAATTCCTCCTTTGCGAACGCAGAGTAATAAATACCAACATATAATAAAATAACTTTGCTCAGAAATATTTATAATACCTTCAAATATTGCAGTTCTTAATGACATGTATAAAAGGATAAACTTCAGAACATCAGTTCTTATTAATAAAATACATCTGCTTAAAGATCTAATGTTTCCAATATGAAACAAATATTGTAACCAAAGCTTCTCTGAATCATCAGTCCATTCTTTTGTAAATATTTAACGAAAAGATTTAAGACAATACTTGCCCTTTTATGACAATCCATTTTTCACTTCTCAATAACATCTAAATTATTGTTTCTAATAGGAATAGTATCTCTAATTCATCATGTCACAAAGAAATGATGATTCAAAGTTATTAAATCCAATTAGTAACAATAATAAGAGTTATAATATTATCCACATATGACAATGTCTCCCTTATTTCAAGTACACCTCTCCTTGATATGCCACCCTTATTCCTTCATCAAAACAGGGCTATTTATCAGAACAGACAAAAGTCACCACGTCTGAAAGTACCCAGTCCCAGTTCCAAGCCAGAACAAACAAAAGTCACCACGTCCGGGGGAAACTTACCACTTAAAACAAGTTTCATACCAAAACGGACTTATGTCACCATGTTTGGTAGAAACAGTTTTCAAAATCCTATTCCATACCAAATAGACTTACGTCACCACGCTTGGTAGGAATATTTCCCAAAATATAGTTTCATACCAAAACAGACTTATGTCACCACGCTTGGTAGAAACATTTTCCCAAATCCAGTTCCATATCAAAACAGACTTACGTCACCATGCTTGGTAAGAACATATCTTTTTAAAAAATACCTCTGTTATAAACCCATAATTACACCCAATAACGGACATTTTTAAATTATATAAAATGTCTAATATAATCAATATTTGAAAATTAACAAAAATAAGCTATCCGGACATACAATCCGGACAACACTTGTCCCCTTCTGTCCGATTTACTAATCCGGGCAACCCTTGGTCGATTAAGACTAAATCGCATGACTTATATCCGGTTTAAGGCAATCCGGACAACACATGATCGATTTAAAACTAAACCGCTCAATATATGATCGGTTTATAACTAATCCGCACGACCCTTAGGCGTTTTAAGACTAAACCGCACAATAACACACACACACACACACATATATATATATATATATGTGTGTGTGTGTGTATATATATACTAGTGGTGTACCCGCGCAATGCAGCGCGGGTGAATTACAATTTTGAAATATTAGTCTGGCTCAAAATTATGAGTTTGTGTGGTTATTTTGCAAGTCAACCTGAAACAGTTTGTGAATCACAATCGTCTGCTATATTTCTTTTTTTTTTTCTCATGAATTGCATCATCTTTTGTAGAAAAAAGCCTCAAGCCGTCACTCTACACCCACTAAGACAAGGTTGGAGAGAGGATCGGACAACGGTGTTGCTTAAGTTATTAATGCATATTGTCTAAATGTACAGGGTTTTTTTATGTTTATCTGCAAACTGTAAGATGGTACTTTTATACAGTAAAATAAGCAATTTTCAATTCCATAAATATAAACGTTTGATTTTTACAAACTATGCCAAGAGTCCTGATAAATTATTGATATTATGCATGAAATAGAAGTAGTAAGGGGTCGTTTTACCCAAATACTTACCCGGTAAGCGCTTACCGGTAGGAGTCGGCACTATAATCTATTTTACCAGATAAGATTGTAGTATATTAAAACGATATCGTATGCAACAATTTACCCGGTAAACACTTACCCGAGTAAGAATCTTGACCATCACTTACCGGGTAAAACTCTCTATCCTTATTATCGCTCTTATCGGGTAAGATTTTCGGCCCTTGCCATGTGCATTAGGTGAGGAAAGTTACTCGATCAACACTTACCGAAGTAAGTGTTTAGTAAATGGCCCTAAGAGATGGTTGTTTTAATCTGCAGTATGGAAGCTATC